TGCGTCTCTCGGAGTCCCGAACAAACTGCTCCAAGAGAAGCCTCAGTTCATAATTTGGATCTGGCTGTGGAGTGTAGCATGGCTCTGCAGAATGGCCCGTGAAGGCCGCCATGGGTAACTCCAGCGCTGATGGCCCTTCTGGTTGTGGGAGAAAGTCTTCTTGGTAATGAGATTGTTCTTGATATGCCCAGGGGTCAGATTGTTCTCCGTAGTAAGGGGGTTGGTACTGGAACCCGGATCCATAGTCTTCTCCTCCTTGATTGCTCCAGGGGGTCTCGGGGTAATACCACTCGGACGGTGGTGGATACCCCCAATGATTGGAGAAGCCATGAGGATCCATGATTCAGATCTGCACCAACAAAAACAAAACACCCAAGTGAAAAGCAAGGGTGGAAAAGAAAAGAAAAACGCTAAAGTAACAAACTTCTGCATTTCCTAATACTCTAGAAAGTCCTCGGCAACGGCGCCAAAAACTTGACTCGCTAAAACACAACTCCTAACAATGGCCAAGTGTAACCAATGAAAGGGACTGCAGTATAGTGGTACAAGTAGTAAATATCGAATCCACGGGTCTCTAGAGTTACTATTACTCAGCTTCAATTCATTATCTAGCAAAACAGATTAAGATGAAAGAACTAAAACTACTCTAGCAAACTACAGTTAAAGTTAATCTAATTACAGGTTGGGAACTCACTTAGGTATGATTCCCCCTAGCCACTAGCCAGATTAACGATTGATGATCTCTAACTTGTTTCACTTTCATTCACAATGCGGAGAATCCTTGACTAGACCTTGAGTCTCGACTAAAGGAACAAGGCCCTCTTGAGTCAATTGCCTAGAGGGACGTATCCTTCTCTAGAACAATCATCAAGGCGTTCTGAACTAGACTCCCTCTATCGAATGAGATTCTCAATCGATACAAAGCAGTGAATCAACCCTCAACTAAAGTAATCGATCCACTACTATCAATCTATGGTGCTCTATTGACCTAATCAGGTATTCGCTCTCATAGGATCAAAGCAGAATCAATAATCTCGACTAAAGCAGAATTGAATCGTGAAAACATGCATAGATTGAATATGAACTCAAGATTATCAAGTCAGAGTACTCATACAATCATCCAATCAAACAAACATGGCTAGGGTTCCTCAAAACCTAAGTGAAGGGAAGTTACTCCATAGAGAAGAGAGAGACTGCAGTAAGAATCTTCAGATGATCAGTCTTCAAGTCCGGGCTTGTTCCCCGAGCTTCCAAGGCGAAGAAATCCTCCAATTCCACTCCAAGAATGCCCTCAAATCGCTCTCTCTCTCTTTGGTTCGTCCCTAGGGTGTTTGGGATCCAAAACCCAGCTCTCCCTCTCCAAAAATCGCAAAACAACTTTTATACCCGCTGAAACTCGCACCTCCTACTTGCACGGCCGTGCAAATTGAGGTTTTGGCCGTGCAGACCCCTTGGGAAACCCGCACGGCCGTGCAGAATTTCACACGGCCGTGCACAATTTCCAGCATGCACTCCTAAGCTTCGTTGATCTCGTTTGAGCTCGTTTGACCTCCGATTCAGTCTCCGTTTGATCCCAGACGCTCGTAGTCTCATCCTCTTTCTTTACATAACAAGCTTGCATGATTCTTTGTCCATAAAGTGAGGTAGAAATCCATTCTTCTTCAGGTCATGCCCGAGTTTCTTCTCCCGAATCGTCAATTGATCTCTGATTGACTTGAAACTTGCGCCTATACTTCACTTTATGTGCTAGGACCTGAAATGTGAGAAAGGAACACAACCTAGCATAAAATAGGCCAAAGACACGATAATTCAAGCTGAAACAATCAAGAAACAAAGGGGAAAACATGTGCAAATACCGAGTCATCAGTATTCCAAAATACCTTTCTTTTTACATTTTGAGGCCCAAGTCATCATTGAGCCCATGAGAAAAAGCCCATAAACATAGGGAGTTGGAGCGGCCCGCCCACTGTCGAACGTTTTCCGACCACCAACAATATAAAAATCAAACTTTGGAAACTTTGAGTCCACCGACGCCGAGCTGGTTATGAAACCTTGACCGACCTTATTCACTGAGGTATGGAGTTCGAGCGTTGGTGTGGGATTGTTTGCTTGAATGAATGATAATGGTGATTGGTGATGATGATGACGACGACATTTCACCAAAAAGAGGTATTCCAAAATACCTTACTTTTTTGTTTACATCTTAATCAATATCGTCAAAATTATAGTATTTCAATAACCAAACTCGACACTTCTTCAATAGTTGAACTATGGAAGAAAGGACCATTCTGTGTCACTAAATGTGCATCCCTTGTGAAGCTGCACAAAAGAACAATGAGGGGGAAAAAAGGTAAAAGCATATATGACTATGAGTTGTCACGTAATGATGAGAAGTGATTCTCGCATTCACTCGTTGGACCAACTATTGAGAATCATCATAATGTTGACAACAGAAAACCAATTCACGGGCCAATCAATGACATTCCGTAACGCTAAAAATTCGATAAGAAAAATGATAATTCATTCAACCTTCATAAAAATTAATCAAAAGCGAATAGGAGAATACATGCATGAAAGCTTAGTTAATTACTAACAAAAGAAGATATTGTTTTTGTTGTCAATAACTTTCTTTCTAATGAAAATTTATTCCCAAAATTATATACGCAATAATTATTTCACCAGAAAAGTGTTATTTTATTAGCCTAGCCAACAAAATAATAAATCAAATGAATTAAGATTTTATTTCCCTAACATGAACATGGACATTAATTACGAGCATGCCCAGTACCATTACCACCGTCACCACACCCAAGACGAGACGTGAAGGCTCCGAGCGCTGCCGCTGATTCTACAACGTGGCTTGTAAAATTTTGTGAATGCGCGGAAAGATAAATGCAGACTTTTTTTTGACTCTATTGGAAAACAAGATTCAAGAGTACTAATTTCATCTTCCATAGAAAACAACACGGGAAGGTGAGAGTGGGGAAACACACAACTGGAAGATAACAGGGGGAAGGCGCATAGACCAAAAGAAAACAACTGCAATACTAGTACTAGCTACTTCAGCCCACCACCAAGAATCCTCGCTCAACCGTTGTGCTGCCTCAGCTCTGTGAACTTCAAGCTCCTGCTCCTCTTCTTATTCAGCGAGCCCCAGCAACCGGCACCACAGCCACGACCACCGGCAAATATCCCACATCTTCGGACATTGGTTGCAGGGTATATTCGTCGGTGGTCGTGTTGTGGTGCCGATTGCTGAGTTTGGTCGTCCCGGTTCTGGTTCTCCGTCGGTGGAACAAGCAAGGGAGGAAGAAAGGGGAAGGGGAGGAGTAGGGGTGCTTTGATTTTGCTGTGGTTTGGGGTTGGGGAGCAGGAAAAAGGGGTATTTATATAGGGGGTGAGGAGAAATTCATTAACACGTTACTAACTTACTGTATCATGAAAGTCTACGTACCGAAATAAAAAATGAAACAATCAATGCGATGGATTAGTGGTATTTGGTATACTTAGTAGAATAAGAAATATCTTAAAATTAAGGATTATAGAATTGAGAATTTTCAATGTTATCTGACCGCGTTATAGTCTAATTTGTTTGTGGGTTTGATAATACTACGACAATTTAATTCCATACGAATGGGGTCTTGGTTGAAGGCACATAATAACCCATTGGTCTATGGGCCGAACATTGGTGGTTCGAAATTAAAGCGTATACATTATTGTTTGTGACCCATAGTACCTACTCAATGCATGATGCATGTCAGCACGAAAGAAAGAAGAAAGACACTGCTGAGAGCCTGAGACGATGGCTACTGGGCTCTGGGGGGAGAAACAAGAAAAGAAAGAAGAAAAGACATTAAAATGGATGCATGACACCGCAGAGGAAGAAGAAGAAGCTAAGAAAGGAAAACGCCGGGGAACGAGCCAGGGCAGCCACAATAGAGGAGTTATTGCTCGAGATGGGGAGGCAGAGGTTTGCAGAGCGCGCGCCTTTGTTTTGTGTTTCGTTCATATACAAGCCGAGCCGAGGCTATTACAACAAAAAGTGAGATTAAAATCCAGGATTTGAATCCATTCAGGGAAGAGCTATATTGTGAAAAAAGAAATAAGCATTCTTATAAGAATCGAATCGGATAAACGAAATCGGGCCAGTAGAATCGTTAAACCAGTTATAATAGCGCGGTCCGGTTCATTGTTTGTACGGTTATTCATGTACCAAACGATTTTCACAGTTCAATATAAAATTAGATGAATCACCACGGGTTAACCTGGTCCATTGGTTCACTATCTTTACCAAAAAAAATAAAAAGTGCTTTTAACATAAACTAAATCATCAATAATAATTTTATATATGCCTCCTCTTCTCATTCCAACCTTGTTGTCAACTTTATGTTATCCACTATCAACTGGAACCGTAATTTTTAATTTAAATTTAAGAGTATGATTTTTTTTGTGAGATGGTTTAAATAATTTATTAGATATTTTGGTGATGATATGAATTTGAATTTGTTTATGGTCAATGATAACTTCATTCTTAAATTAGTGTAATATATGTTATCTATTATGAACAGTTCTATCCACGGTTAACCAATGATTTTGTAACGATTAACCACTAAACCCTAAAACACTAATTTTTCCAGTTCAGCCAACCCATCCGGTTCTCAAAACAGAGGAAATAAGTGGTGAAGGGCCCGGCCCATTCGTTGAATTTTAGAGATGGGAAGCGGGAATGGATAAATGGTAAGTGGCCGTCGATTCAATTCACGATTGGGCCCTGAATTGATCGGTTGATTACCGTACTCTGTTTATCTATCTGGGACCCAAATATCAAAAGCCCAAAACTAAAGAAAAGCCGAAAACTGAATGAATCCCAATCCGCAGCGGCCATGTTTAACTGGTTTAGGGTATTTTCTGTTTAATCGTCTATCTCGGATTCTTTCTCTTCCGTTGAGCGGTTCCATTAATCAATCAAAAAAACCCTAACTTTGTCACCTCCAGCGGGCATGTCTCGTTTCAATCTGGGCGTTTGTCGATCTACAACCGTGGCAACGACCGAGAATTACGGCAGTTCTGATTGGGATCTGCCGCTAAGCTCACTCCTTCCCCCTTCCGCCCTCGGAAAACGGCGCCGGCTCTGTCCAGAGGGAAACCCTTCTCCGCCTCCCCTGAATCTGTTCGGAAAACTGATTGACGACCTCGTCGTCGAGATTCTGATCCGCCTCCCCAATCCTAGATCCTCCTGCCGCTGCAAAGCCGTCTGCAAGCGGTGGAGATCCCTCATCTCCGACCCCAGCTTCAATCGCCGTATTATTTCTCATCACCGGAGTAGGTACCGACCAGCAGCTCTGTTTGTTCCCGCACACGATCCCCTGTCCATCCTCAGCTTTCTCCCCGTACCCGATGGAGCTCGACCGCGGTTGAGAGCCTTCGATTGCTTCAAGGACTTGATTTTGTGCGGGTTTGAGAACTTGGGTAGATCCTACTTGGTCTGCAATCCGTTTACAAAGCAATGGATAGCCCTTCCTTTGGCCCCTAGAAATCCAGAAAACGGGTATGATCGTTATACGGTAGTGTTAGCTTGTCAGCCCCGTTGTACACATAGCAGCAGCAGTAGTAGTAATTATAGTCTTGTGCAGCAGCTAGGAGACGAACCAGAACCAGAACCTGCAGCAGCAGCAGCCTTTATTTATTCCGAGTATCGTTTTCGCGTGGTGCGTCATTTATCGAGTGGCACGAATGTGATACAGGACGTGTTTTGTTCCGAGTCTGGAGAATGGAAGCGGATTTTAATGAGGAACTCCTCTCTAAGGCCATGGACCAATGCAGTTTGGTGGAACGGGCTCTTGTTTTGGATGGATCTTGATCCCTCTTCCTTGCACTCGCAGCTTATTGCAGATGATCCTTTCCGCCTAGATATACTCACCACCAAAGCTCTGCCCGTACCTTCTGCATTGTGGAACCTGTTGTGCGATGGAAGTGGGAATATTTCGGTCTCACAGGGCGCTCTGCACATAGTTCTGTTGCAAGTTGAAGGTGTACGTAATGGTTTGAGGAATGCCTTGTGTGTTTGGAGACTGGAAAAAGATGATGACGAGCGTTATCTGTGGAGAAAAATATATGAAATGGCGTTGAAGAGGACATCCTCGTTGTGTGGTCAGTTTGAACTTGAGAACTGCTTTGTGCTTGATCTGCATCCTGAGAAGTCGGAAATTGTCTACTTCAGATACTTGGAGGATCGTATTTTCTCCTTCAATTTGAGGACGGGGAAGGGAAAGCCCGAATTCTTTTCTGGAGTAACACTAATATGCTCTCAGCCCACTTGGCGGGCGTTGCAGCCTAGAGTCTCTTGCTGGCCTACTCCTATTCCAAGGTACGAGAACCTGCGAGGTGCATACAATGGAAGCTATGATTGTTGGGTTCAGAAAAGCACTATGACAACTCCTCCCTCAACCATTGGTAATAATTACTTCGAGTTCTACCTCTCTCCCTAGCCTCTCTTCTCTGCCGTTGCATCTCTGCTTACTAACCTACTACCTCGCTTAGTGATTTGAAGATCTACCTATTAAGTAGCACATACACGCATACTGCATACATCTCTTGTCTTGTCAAGTTGCCATTCATGTTATGATGATACTGAGATTGTGTGTTTGTGTTATTATTCTCTCGATTTCATGTGGTGTGGCTTTTAATATTACGTTGCGCGGTTGGTTGGTTTGCTGAACGAACAGATAAATGCCAACCCTTGGTTGAACAGTCTGGTCGATCGTAGGAGGAAGGACAAGAGATCAGCAGCAACATTACAGTCCCAGCGTTGCGTTCGAAGGAAGCAGAAAGTGGGGAGAGGCGCGCAGCTTGTGGCCTAATAATGGTAAAAGAAACTCATCTTCTGTGATCAATTAGGGTAAGGATCATCCTCGGGCAGGTGGGTGCTGTTGGGCGCTTGTACGTACGTAGTGATGATCTGTAGGAAGATGGACAGCAGCAAGGGTACGAAGGTTTAGCATGCGTATTTTCTCCTTCAATCTGCGGACTGGGAAGGGAAAGCCCGAATTCTTTTCCGGAGTAACAGTGAAATGCTCTGAACTCACTCGAGTCAGGGTACGAGAATCTGCGAGGTGCCTACGATGGAAGCTACGATTTTTGGGTTTAGAGTTGCGTTGATTTCCCTATGAACATGAAAAGAACATGGGTCAACCCGCTGGCATCAGTTTCCAAACTGTGAAAACGAGGGCAATGACTTCAAGCTACGTGTGATGATATGGTTGTGTGACTGTAAGTTTGAAGAGTTCCAGTGAATTGAAGGGCGGGGAAGAGTGACATGTAAATGTGGCAACAAACCCAGAAGGGATCGATGAATGAAAGTTGGGAAATGGTTGTTGTGGTTTGTTCAGCGGCCAGCTTCCTTCCTTCCTTCGAATTCGGTGAGTTTTAACCTGCTTGGGACGGGAGTAGATAGCCCCCGCGACACGGCACCAAGTGATTTTGGTATCATTTAGACCTCCCTCCGTTTTGGCCCTTGGGCCTTTACCCGCTTCCTTTTAGGATGGTTGGGCTTTTCTTTTTTGTGCAAAAGGATGCTTGGGCTTTTAGCCTTTTTTAGATCGGTCTTTGGACAATTTTATTTGTTCTTTATTTTTACTGTGATGTTTAAATATGTATCTTTCAATTTCAAATTAAGAAAATATATCTTGTAGAATGACGTATCGTTTCATATGTGGTACAAATTTGTGGTGTATACATCATAAATCATTTGAGTTTTTGGCAGAGGGTTAGTTTGAGGCTTTGGGCATGGGGAAATTATTGTTAGTTTAAAGTTAGTTCATAAAGTGAATACTATATAGAAAGATATATGTGGCATACAAGATAATCAATTATCGTGAAGAGGAAGAAGAGAATATGGTTATTTTAGATAATACATTATTGAAAGTGAATCAAGTAACGAGTCGTATTTCAATAAGATACGAGACGCGATCTGTTTTCCTTATCAAACAAGAATTTACATAATCTTTTTTGCTATCAATTTTCAAATTAGGCTAACTTAACGTCATACTTTCATGTTAGGTATTTTCAAACTGAGAACGACGCATTTATAATAAACTAATTCAATACGAATTTACCAAGTTTTAAGAAGGCGCTAGGCGTAAGGTAGGTCTTGAGGCTTTGCCTAGCGCCTAGGTTGCCTATGCATAGACTAAGCGTGATTAGGCATTGGAAGAAATATTGCTAGCCACTATATATGATGAATGAAATAAAAATCTACAACACTCCCTCACCTCAGCTAAAGTGATTAATAACTTACTCAACACTTGATGACAAGATCATAGCTCACGATTTCATAGAATCATAGCACAACAGCTCACAAAGTTCTTGAGCTATTGAAGATATTATATAGAAAATTGATTTCGTAGTTGACGTTAATTTACTCTTTTAATGTTGACTTTCTAGCTCTATGTACTATGTAGTTATATTTAGCAGAGAGTTAAATATCACCTTACTCCATGACGTGTTACAGTATCTAACTAGGCGCAAAATCCCTAGACGAGGAATTTTGTCATTGTCATACACCTAGGCGTGTCTAAATGTGAGGTTAAGCGTGCCTTTTTGAAACATGGAATTTACTAATGGCTCCAAAGTCGTTGGTTTTCCTATGAACATGAAAAGAACATGGGTCAACCCGCTGGCATCATTACCAAACTGTGAAAACGAGGGCAATGACTTCAAGGATGTGTGATGATATGGCTTTGCCTATATTTCACTTGTGTTATGGAGATGGAAGGTTATATGAGAAGTCCTAAAAACTTGGGGGGACCTTCCTTGGTTTGAAATTAGTACATTCATAAGTTTCAACTCTAAGGGAGTTGTCTACGAAAAAGAATTTTTTCTTGTTCTTGATCTAAAACGAGATGGATTCTTGTGGGAAGGAGGTAAATCAAGAAATGAAATAAGACACACAGATTTACGTGGTTTATTAACTTAACGAAAGTTATCTACGGCGAAAATAAAGTTAATTAAAGTTATATACGTCAAAATAAAGTTAAGAGGTTGCATGAAGTGAAATTTTATATTTCTTGATTTAGAACAAAGATTGATTTTCATGGGGAGCATGTAAAGTAATCAGACATAATCGAGATTGCCGATGATGGTGGCAAGAGAAGCATATTTTAGGAATGAGGAGGAGGATGTCGATGCAGATGAAAATGATCAGAACGAGCAGATTAACGCTGACCCCCGACATTGATGATGATTATCCTCATCATACTAATGCTCATGATAGCGACTATGATGATGATGATGATCAATTTCACACCACCAAAATCTATCGGAGACTTAGATGATGATGATGATGGATACGAGGAAGGAATTCCATAGAAAAGCATGAAAATTTGGATCGTGTCCAACAAGGAAAAAGAAACTTTGCTCGAAATTAATTAATGATCCTAAACAATCCGAGAAATTAACACTAATGAAGCTTAATTACCACTAATTAACAAGTAATTAATATGCATGGGCGCATGCATGCAACCCTAATCGTACTCGCTATTTGATTTCACGTGATAATGAACTCAAATGAACCGCCCTGTTGAATGGATTCAAATCCTGGATTTTAATCTCACTTTTCATTGTAATAGCTTCGGCTTGTATATGAATGAAATACAAGGCGCGCTCTGCAAACCTCTGCCTCCCCATGTCGAGCAATAACTCCTCAAGTATGGCTGCCCCCACATCTCCACTTTGCTCGCTCCCCCACGTTTTCCCTTTCTTAGCTTCTTCTTCTTCCTCCACGGTGCCAAGCATATTTTCTTCTTTCTTTTCTTGTTTCTCCCTCCACGGTGCCAAGCATCTTTCTTCTGCAAACCTCTGCCTCCCCATGTCGAGCAATAACTCCTCAACACATCTCCACTTTGCTCGCTCCCCCACGTTTTCCCTTTCTTAGCTTCTTCTTCCTCCTCCACGGTGCCAAGCATCTTTCTTCTTTCTTTTCTTTTTTCTCCATCCAGCGCCCAGCATTGTCTTTCTTCTTTCTTCATGGGAAATCCAAATCAGATGCAGATTTGGATCCACCTAGCTGACGTCCACTGCTCCGAACCTAACCAGGCTCTGATACCACTTGTCATAACCGGGTCGCTCAATTAGTACGATATTGTCCGCTTTGGGTCAAGCCCGTACGGATTTACTCTTGAGTGTCCTCCGCAAAAGGCCTCATACTAGTTGGGTTAGATGAACACTAATATACAAGGGTTTCTTCTCTTGTATAACCGATGTAGTACTTGAATTGTCCCATAACATGACACTTAGACCAATGGGTTATTATGAACCTTCAACCAACAGCTTCTACGTACTGCTTCTTGGGAAGTTTGTGGAAGCATATTATAGATAGTTTAATTTCCAACTATGAGTTACACAAAAACGTAAGGTACGAATTTAATAACGGATGATTTAATTTTAATGAATGGCTACTTTGATACGACATTAATTATTAAGAGAATTTAATTGACAATTAAATACAATATTATAGCATTTTTCGTAAACAGGACCCCACTAAACTCGGATGTTTTTGTCTAATCTTCTTTTTGCTTCTAGTTTTGCAATTCAGTGATTACCCGTCTTTCTTCTTTCTTTTCTTGTTTCTCCCTTCAGCGCCCAGCGGTCATTATACCAGCTAGCAGGTACACTATTTCCTTTAATGGTTTTGCTCCTTTCCCATGCAAACACCAAAACAGAAAGAGTTGTATGCATGCGCCGTTGCTAGAGGGAGTACATACAATACTATGATGAATTGAATCATGCTAGCTAGCTAGAGGGTATCGTATACATATATACTACTTGTTAATTATTGGTAATTTAAGCTTCATTAGTAGTTTAGTACTGTTAATGAATTTAGTGGGTTGTTTAGTGATGAGTAAATTGATAAGATTGATTTCTGAAGAGGTGTAAGTCTTTCATGGACTATTCTTGATTTCTATAAAATGACGAAGCTCCCAGAGTCATTTGGATTCGTTTGCCGACAAACAATTGCACGAGTCATGCGAAAGTCTTAAATGACTCTATTGAGTCGGTTCCAAATGTTGTCTATCTATCAGTTATTTTCAAATAACTCATTATTTTAGTTCAATCTTTCCGATTATGTCCTTGCCACTTTTTAATAAACCCATTTTTATCCTTGCCTTTCTATTACTTATTTCCCCTACCATACTTTTGTCTATCGCTGATTTTTTTTTTCTTTCCGCCAAATTTTACAAGTAACGAGGAGAATTATCCTTCTTATCGTCTCCATTATTTTCTCGTGACATCGGAGTTGCCACCTTCAAGAATGAATCGTAATTAGCCCGAATGTGAGACTTCTGTAGTCGTTACCTTTTGCAAACAAATTAACATAAAAAATGTTCTTTAAAAATAACAAAATATTATACATGACGTAATCATATGTTCTGATGGTTGCAAAATGAACATGTTACGTGATTACTTTTATGAGACAAGAAACAAGATAACGGAATATTAAATGTAAGAGCAAAATGGTAGCATTATACAAAATTACAAATGACTCATTTAAGAATGACTCATCTAAAAATTATTAAACAAACAATACATTTGCAGATGTCTACATTCACAAATATCTACATTTCTAAAATGTCTCCATTTGAGCAAATGACTAATGCAAACCACTTTCGTTTATCATTTTAATAGGTAAAAAATCTTTTACATCAAAAACTTAAATTAGTTCACATCGTAGGGCTAGAAATAACTTAAAATAACATATGGATTTGTTTAATTCGTTTATCATTTTATCTCTCCTCAGTCCTCACCCCCTCTATCTCTATAAATACCCCTATTTCCTACTCAGCCAAACCACTCGGCAAAATCAAAGCAAACCCACCCCTTTCCTCCCTTGTTCTCCCTTGCTTAGCTTGTTCCACCGATGGAGAATCAGGAAGGCCAAGCGCAGCAACCGGCACCACCGCCACGACCACCGGCAAACATTCCCTGCAACCAATGTCCGAAGTTGTCACGCTCGTTCAATCAGAAGAGGAGTCACTGGGACGGAGCGCACCGTCTGACCCACCCGTACGTGTGCCATTACTGCTATGACTCCGTCGTGGCTGCTCAGACCTGTGAACCAACCTCCAGCTCCGGCTCCCTCTCAAAGGAGCGTGACAACTTCGGACATTGGTTGCAGGGAATGTTTGCAGGTGGTCGTGGCGGTGGTGCCGGTGGCTGCGCTTGGCCTTCCTGATTCTCCATCGGTGGAACAAGCTAAGCAAGGGAGAACAAGGGAGGAAAGGGGTGGGTTTGCTTTGATTTTGCCGATCGAGTGGTTTGGAGGTTCACAGGTCTGAGCAGCACGACGGTTGAGGGAGGATTCCTGATGGTGGAGGGCGTGGGCTAAAGTAGTAACAGTAGTAGTATTGCAATCGTTTTCTTTTGGTCTTATGCCTTCCCTTGTTTAATTTCCCCACCACCTTCACCTTCCTCCTACGTTGTTTTCTTGTAGCCTGCAGGGCACATCATCGCCTTGTATGTTTTATCTTCTCTGTATGCTCTAGTTCTTCAATCGATCGGGCCATTAGTAGAATGCTTGTGCAAGTGAAGTCTCACTAATTTTTCGATTAATTAACTAAGTAATTACGGACCTGCCGATTTAGCGGTGAACAAAAGGAAATTAACTAGCTGCCATCATATATCTAGTTCGGGATAAGTGCGACAAGTACTTAATACATATTACCGTTAATTAATTAGGAGTGGCATTGGATTGGAGGGAGAAACAATTAATAAAAGAAAGAAGAAACACAGATGGATGCATGGCGTAGAGGAAGAAGAAAAACAAGGGTGTCAAATTTGCATGCAGCCCTAATTGTACTGTCCAAGGGTGCATGTCAAACCGGTTTATATATAGTTGAATTGTTTTAACAAATTGAACGGTTCGACCAGTGATAAAAACCAGTTTATGCCGGTTCAATTTAGAATTCAAAATTCAAACACACTCGTATAATATCACTATTCAGATGATTAACTTAGAGTTCCAAAAATAGGACCAGTCGAAAGAAAAACTCGAAAAACACGCACATTTCACAAACCAAAAGAGAAAACGGCGTCATGTGACCTCCAAATTGTTAACCTTGCAGCGAGTTAACCCACGGATGTGTGACATCCGTTTTTCTCACGGGAACATAGTCAAAAATGGGTCAACCTGTAAGTTGACAACCTTGTTGGTATCTAACCAAGTTACACTCACCGCATGGATTTTACGAGGAAGGGAATTCCATAGAAAAGCATGAAAATTTGGATCGTGTCCAACAAGAAGAAAAAAATTGCTCGAAATTAATTAATGATCCTAAGCAATCCGAGAAATTAACACTAATGAAGCTTAATTAATTACCACTAATTAACAAGTAATTAATATGCATGGGCGCATGCATGCAACCCTAATCGTACTCCTAGATAGTATAATTCATCATAGTATTAGTACAGTAGCCGATGGATCAAATTGTATATTATTGTTTAGTGCTTCTCCTCCTAGCTATAGCTACAGTTTACAAAGATTCCCCAAATTATTGTCCTCCCAATTTTCACCACCAAGGGCGAATCATGAATCGGCGTGAAGCTTTGACTCTTTCACGTTTTGGTGTTTGCATGGGAAATGAGCAAATAAATTAAAGGACGTTGCATCATGATTCATGCATGTCATTAGTCAGAAATAGGTTTGTTATATTTTTATACATATACGAAGCAGTTAAAGTTATGAATTCGGTAGGTGAAATTTAGTTTTTGTTTTTGTATCTTTTCATAAACACTATAGGTTAATGAAACATCAGCTGCCTCAGCTATAGATTGCAAAGTTCTCAACAAAATTATCCGACTGTAGTAGTTGATCAAGCATCTAAAGTAAGAGTTATTGCAATTGGTAGAATTTATTCCGTCCCGTAAACGTTTTTATAATCATAACAAATACCTTACTATTTTGAAATGCAGCGGAACTACAATATGTTACAAGGGTTTAGAAGATTCTAATGTTTTTTTTTTCACAATATGTGATTTCCATTTCATCAACGAAAAAGTATAAACAAAGCCACATTACAACATCGGATCAATAATATTAAGCACTTGGATCCAATCTTAGGGGAGAGATCCGTTTGCCGCTTCTTTTGCCACCCAATCTGCACTTCTGTTACAAGATCTTGGGGTAAAGCAGATAGATAATCCGACTTTCACTCTGAGAAGATTGCGTATTCACTAAATCCAAGCTCTCACTTGCCAAGGACCTACTTTATGCTGATCTTGAATGATATCCACAAGCACCTTATAGTCCGAGAAGATAGAGGTTGAACCGTGGAGGGTAGGGGTGGCTATACGGTCCGGTCCGGTTAAATTGGACCAAATTGATCCGATTCCAGTCCAGTCTTTTTGGGAATATAAGGACCAAAGATTGGATTGGATACAGTCCGGTCTTGATTCGGTCCGGTCCCAATTTGATCTTGATTTTAGGTGTTGGGGGTCTCTTATCCGGTCTTTATCCGGGTTTTTTTACCTCAAATCTAAGCCCGAATATGAGATTGGATTGTTTGCTATCCGGTCCCAGTCCGGTCCCGGTCCGGGTTATACGGTCCAGTTTCGGGTAAAACCAAACAGTCCGGGACCAAATAGCCAGCCCTAGTGGAGAGAGACTGCTGCTCTCACCGCCGTCAATAGAGCTTTTGCTTCCGCAACTATCGATGATGAACAGAAGAAAGTGCCAACACAACCATCCACAACTTGCCCATGGGAGTTCTTCATGATGACCCCATAAGCCGCCACGTGTGTCACATTCCCTCCCGTGAAATCGTCTAATAATAGTAGCACGAACTATATGGTACTATTATGGTGTTCTTTCTTAAACTACTTGATACACATAAATGACGAACGTGACAAATTGATGAGAATATATAGAATTTGCCACAACCCTCTCTCTTGCTTTATTGAATACGTGTGTATCGTGTTTGATAGATAGACATGAGATTATAATAAGAGTGGTTAATAAAAGTGTCAATTAAAGAATAGTTTACATATTCTTAATTATTTAGAAGTAGACAATGGTTGGATATTTTCTTAAGAATTACCAAATTAAATAGCTAGTGGTCTCCGACAATCTCATGTATGCTTCTCTGTTTTCCAATTGGGTTAGCAATATTGAAACAAAGCCAAATTAGATTCCCACTCACTCTTTAACAATGGGTAAGAGTTGACATGGGTAATAAATTTTCTTGTCTCCGCCCAAGCCTCTTTACTCCTCTGATGCATGCAAAATGCCTTATTTCCAACCAAATTACCAAGCCTCACACGTGTATGCATCACCATTCTCTATAAGAAACCATTCATTGAGCTAAACAGAGGAAGTGATTATGAGAGGTCAGGAGCTGCTCTGCTAATATATTTGGCTAGAAATGAAAGGAAGGAGGGGGGACGAATCTACACATCCAAGTCGTGGGATTTAGCGAGGGGAACCTCAATTATATAAGGTAATCCTTCCTTCTTCATAGTGGTAACGCTTACTGGAATGGGTGGTAGTAAAGAGAAGGATATATGCAAACATACAAACATATACAGTAGCGTGTACTTAAGTTAATGGAGTAGATAAGTAATCTTAAGCTCTAGATTAACCATCAACTTCAGTCTTGCTTGGTCTTTGGTTGCAGTAAAGTAGTCTTAATGTGGGTTCAAAAGTAATCCCATGGGTTGCGGACTTAGGTTGTTAAATTGCATGCATAACCAACCACACAAGAAGAAAGATTAATGCGGCATAAGAATTGAGAACCAGTTGGGATATATTTGAGTTAGGAGGCATGCTATGGGTTATAAAAATTAAATTATAAATGGGTTTACCATATAAATAATGAAAGTGATGATGCATGCGTGAATGAGAGGGGCAGATTACTTTTAGTATGGCATTTGTCATGTTATGTCATTAATGGTGGAATTAGTCCCTTCATTTGGAACGAAATTGGTAGTGAGGATTGCACACATGGATGGGACATTTACAGGATCTGCATGTGCTAAATTAAGTGGAATCTTTTTGTAATTTAAGGGATTATTGCATGGTAGCCATCTTAAATCTCCCATGCATTTAACACAATTGACTTGCTAATTAGTAAGTACATATATGGTCTGCGACTGGAGAGAAGGGAGAGGGATAAGTGAATGTTAAAGTGGGGGATTATATGTTGGCCTGATAGCATATCCTTGAAGCGGATGTAATTAATTATATTTACCTAATTGAGTAACCTAATTCTGGTTTATTGAGCCCTCCGTTCCTATACTGAAATTATTGATACGTGCATTCTAAAGGGAAGGAGCAAATCAGAACATCGACAATGGTATATCTAAGTCATTGAGTGGTGAGTAAATTCTAACCTAATGTTTATCTTAATATGATTATGGTATTTCAGGTCATGAAGCGGTCCGAGTACAACGTGTATGATGGCTTGGGAAGACTTAAACCAATTATGATTGAATGTCAAGTGTGGCGTGGTTATATGATTGCATGAGATGAAACGATTGAATGATACTATGATTGGATGAGGTTACTGTATTGTGGTAATTATATGATGATGTGATGATATGATAACATGATTGTATGATGATATGACCAGAAGGTCATAATACATGTTATGTGAGTGCTAAACGGTATTATGTGATGAGTATATATGAAATGTGAAATGGTATTCAAGGCAGTCAAGTTAAAAAAATGGCGAGAAAGGTTGCCTATTGTGAATGATACGAGATGAGATAGATATGGCACGCTGTGCCCCACGAGTTAACGAGTTCATGAGATAAGGCACTTTGTGCCCACGAGTTTACGAGATTTGGCACTTTTGTGCCTATGAGATTACGAGATCACGATATTACGAGTTCACGAGATCCCGGGGAGTGCATGACTTGGCAAATTAAAGAATAAAAGCTACTGAACCCAGCTAACTATATGTGTGTGTATGATTGGATGCTGATTCATTGCTGATTTTGGATCCAACATGAGTATGTGAATGCCAAGCTTGATATTTATCATCTTTGTGTGATATATGATTGAGATGGCAATATTAGTATTTTCCATATTTGAGGTATAGAATGTGAACCCTTACGTGTGGTATGTAAAGGTTGATGTGTTTTATATGTCATATTAAGTTATATGAGGTACATGTTATGATGATCTCCTATGATGAGTAGTACAACGATTGATCAGGAAACTGTGACATAAGTAGTAATGATTTACTAATTTCATTATGGTAATGCCATGAGATATCGACGTGTATAATGTTATGAATCTACAATACATTCCTTGATGTGGTACGTGTTGATAGAAGTGTAAAATATGAAGGAAAATCCCGTATGGGATATAAGAATAAATACAAACCATATGCAACACTAGGTATGGTAAAGTAAAGGAGAAACCTTAAACGAAGGATATATGAAATATAGGAATGACCCATAACTTATATGTGATAGATCAAGTGAACGAGGGAAGAAATTTCGTATGAATCTGCATAGGTGAGACCTAAGTAAAGTTATTAAGTGATAAGATATATATATATTGAGTATAATGGACGGAAGACACTCCGAGTCACAACATAGCCTGATATTATTTTCGTATTAATATTTATATTAGGTTATTATTTACTCATTGAGTGACGTCTCACCCCGTCAATATTTTTCCCAGATGAATAGCTAAAATGGGTGAAGGCCATGGGACGAAGCAAGTTAGAGTTTGACATCGATGAGGTGTGCGGAAGGCTGAACTCTCCACAATGTTTTCTATGGGAAATTTGAAGATGGTTTTTTCCAAGAAAGAAAAAAAAAACGAACCAAGAGTTTGAGGATTTTGGTAAATAGTTTACTAATAGCGTGATCCGGTTCATTGCTTGTACGGTTATTCATGTTCCAAACGATTTTCACAATTCAACATAAAATTAGATGAATCACCATGGTTTAACAGGTCCATTGTTCACTATCTTAACAAAACAAAACAAAAAAGGTGCTTTTAACATAAACTAAATCATCAATAATAATTTTATATATGCCTCCTCTTCTCATTTCAACCTTGTTGTCAACTTTATGTTGTCCACTATCGACTGGAAGTCTGGAACCATAATTTTTAATTTAAATTTAAGAGTATGATTTTTTTTGGTGAGATGGTTTAAATGATTTATTAGATATTTTGGTGATGATATGAATTTGAATTTGTTTATGGTCAATGATAACTTCATTCTTAAATTAGTGTAATATACAAGTCTTATATGTTATCTATTATGAACAGTTCTATCAACGGTTAACCAATAATTTTGTAACGATTAACCACTGAACTCTAAAACACTAACTAGCTTATCACCCGGCCCGTTGGCCGGATTACTGTATGTTACCCACTTGTGGAATGGGAGAGAAAGAAAGTGAGAGTGAAGGGATTGAGATTCCACTTGATTAGGACCGACCCACTAATCCGATTCTTCCCGACCCGCCCCAACCTAAAGGGTCAGAAAGAGTCAATAAGAAAATACGAACGGGGAGGATTTGTCATATATCTTGGCTCTTCAGAAGTGGGTCAAACAGGATCAAGGTTGGGTGAGCGCAATTTTTAGCGCTAAGCAGAGTTCGAGGTTGAATAACTTTACTTAGGCCTAGAAATTGGTGCTGATGCAGACTGCAGTTTTTATTATACCATCATCAATCATCATTGAATTACTCCTGGGCATCCCTCCCTGTTGTCGGTCTGAATTCTAATGATGGCTTCATTCCTTGCACCAGCCATATCAGCGAGTTGTCATCTCGAGCATGATTTGCCTATGTACAAATGATACAATTAGAGTATGAAACTGAATTCAAAGAAAAAGAAAAGAGAATTCTATCACATGCCAATAAATACACACATTATAGTTGAAGCTAAGTGAAAGTCATTACTCGCACATCAATTCTAAAAAATTACAGACTAAACAATGGCTAGAATGGCACTGAAACTACCAAGAATCATGGATGAAACAACTTGTCAAATTAAATAATCCTTATACTGAAACTACCTTCTAACTTGAAATAAGACATGATCACAGTTAATAGCTCTCTTCTCACTATGAATTGGTTGCAGCTCGTCCTTATCACTGCCTCCCAAGCTCAATTCAAACAGAATAGAGACCGTTATGTAAGATAACCATATCCTTACTGATCATAATTCCTTTCTTCACTCCATTTTTGTCGGAGAAAAGAGTTTATCCCCCTCTCCTGCATTTCCCTTTCCCCCTCTCTTCTCCCTCTTCTTCACAACCGATCCCTAAACCAACAACAACAACACAAAAATAGCCTTCGCCTCTGTCATCTCCATCTACTGAACGCGTTGGTGGCAAGACAGGACTGCAGAAGCAAAATTTTCTAAAATCAAACTAAATTTTTTGAAGGAGACTCAACCACGAAAAAAGAGTAAAGCAACAATGCTAATAGTTCAGATGATTGGTTTTGATGTTATACGTTGCTTTTGTTCTGGTCTCCAGTATATCAACTGCAACAAAGATGTTTCCTCCAATCATCTTTAGTGCACGATTTAGAAGCAAGTCCTCCTGTTTGTGTCAAACGGAAACATTCATGGGTTCTTAACTCCCCTGTTAGTGTAAATGCAGTAGCAGCAAAGAAGTTTGACAACACAGCAAGCACCCAGGCAAAATGATACAATGCAGTAGGTGATATGTGTCTCGAAGGTTTTGAGTTACTAAAGTTCATGTTAAAAATAAACATGAATTAAAATGGATTATTCTATTAAGCAAACATCCCCTCTAATCATACAAAGATCAGATATCCAATTCACAAACAATTAAGCCATAAAAAATCATCACACATCCACCACCTTTGATTGCCTAAATTTGGTTTTTCTCAAAGTTATGGACTCTTAAGGGTAACGTTCATAGGTAGTCTGTTTCATAACTCTAGAGAGCACAGTAAGCAGCCACCAGCCAGACACAGTGCGGTTGGCGAATATGATTCTCAATTCGCAATTTCTCACCACCGGAAGTAAGAACAGCGAATAATAAGCGTAGCGTTCATGGGTGGTCTGTTTCATAGCACTACTACTCAATTTTTTAAAAAGGAAAGAAAGGTATTTAGCATCACGGCGGAACAACTTTTACAAGCAAACAACGACAACGTGCTGCAACCACCAGAACTGGTATCACAACTCATAGGGAAAATCAAAAGATTTACTCTCAAATTAAGTAGTTACAACATCGAGCAATCGTCAAGCACATACACCATCACAAAAGTCACGGAACCTGATTCACAAAGCATTCAAACATTTGAGGACATTTCTGCAAAGGTACAACTTATATGTCTTTTTTCCAAGCCATTTCCATCAACATGCTAATAAATTTGCAATGCATAAAACAAACGGGCCAAAACTTGAAATTCAACCTGTTTGCCGACCCATGCCAAATTCTAATTATTCTTTACTTTTAAACTTTCTATTTGAAAATAAAAAATAGTGAAAGAAAAGAGACGACTACAATTCGCCATTTTCACATCACTTATTCGGGAATAAAACCATAGAAATTCAAAAGGAACTGAAAATATTTAGGATCGTTTTAATGTTTAAAATAACCAAATTGATCTTTATGTTTAATTTTTTACTAACAAATACCAAACGATTCCCTATAAAATATACTATAATTTGATCATTATGATATCAAATAATTATAAAATACATATTTGAAATGATAAAAATTGGACTAATTGGGTTGGTCGAGGTTGAACCATTGAATAACTTTAAAATACATTATATTTTAGCCAGTAAGATCTAAAATAATAGTATAATATATATTATGCCAGAGAAAATAGCTTATTTTAGAATGACAAACCAATAATGTTCATTTGTTTTACTTGATGGCCAAATCCCATGTAAGTCAGACTCATTCAACTCTTTTATTTTATGGTTAGCGGTTAGCCCATTAGATACCATGCATTAGTTTATTGTTAAATTTTTTATTTTTAACAATAAAAAGGAGTATTATTTTTTCCGTTTCATATATATATTTTATCACCACGGAGAAATAAAAGGCTTAAAGAAAAAAATTGACACTCCTAGATCCGTTTAAATTCGCATGTGTACGGTAAGTTGGCCCGTTCCACAGGGGAAAGAGAAAAAAAATTGACACTCCCTATTCTACCCTTCCTACAAACGCTCCTGGAGCAAGGAATTTGAAATGGGGAAAGAGTTTTTTCCTCCCTGCTATTATATGTTTTTAATTTAAAAAAATACAACAAATGTACTTAGTGTGATTGGTTATTATGCTTGCTTTTCTTTAAAATGGTCATGGTTCGAATCCCAGTACGTGTCTTTTTAATGAATAAAAAAAAGTAATTGTGAAGACCAAAATGTCCTTCCTACAAACGCTCCGAGCGTCCGAAATTTGAAATGGTGTTTGGGTTTTTGGCTACCAGCTTTTATAAAAGGTGTAGCTTTTATAAAAGGTTTAGAGATGGAAGCGGGAATGGATAACTGGTAAGTGGCCGTCGATTCAATTCACGATTGGGCCCTGAATTGATCGGTTGATTACCGTACTCTGTTTTATCTATCTGGGGCCCAAATATCAAAAGCCGAAAACTGAATGAATCCCAATCCGCAGCGGCCATGTTTAACTGGTTTAGGGTATTTTCCGTTTCATTGTCTATCTCGGATTCTTCTCTTCTCTTCCGTTGAGTGGTTCCATTAATCAATCAAAAAAAAAAAAAAAAACCCAACTTTGTCACCTCCAGCGGCCATGTCTCGTTTCAATCTGGGCGTTTGTCGATCTACAACCATGGCAACGACCGAGAATGATGGCAGTTCTGATTGGGATCTGCCGCTAAGCTCACTCCTTCCCCCTTCCGCCCTCAGAAAACGGCGCCGGCTCTGTCCAGAGGGAAACCCTTCTCCGCCGCCCCTGAATCTGTTCGGAAAACTGATTGACGACCTCGTCGTCGAGATTCTGATCCGCCTCCCCAATCCTAGATCCTCCTGCCGCTGCAAAGCCGTCTGCAAGCGGTGGAGATCCCTCATCTCCGACCCCAGCTTCAATCGCCGTATTATTCCTCATCACCGGAGTAGGTACCGACCAGCAGCTCTGTTTGTTCCCGCACACGATCCCCTGTCCATCCTCAGCTTTCTCCCCGTACCCGATGGAGCTCGACCGCGTTTGAGAGCCTTGGATTGCTTCAAGGACTTGCTTTTGTGCGGGTTTGATGACTATTTTGGCGAATTGGGTAGGTCCTACTTGGTCTGCAATCCGTTTACAAAGCAGTGGATCGCCCTTCCTTTGGCGCCTACAAGGCCGGAAGGTGGGTATGAACGTTCTGTGGTAGTGTTAGCTTGTCAACCCCGTTGTACTATTAGCATTAGTAGTAATTATAACCTTGTGCAGCAGCTAGGAGACGAACCAGAAACTGCAGCAGCAGCAGCAGCCTTTATTTATTCCGAGTATCGTTTTCGCGTGGTGCGTCATTTATCGAGTGGCATGGATTTGATACAGGACGTGTTTTGTTCCGAGTCTGGAGAATGGACGCGGATCTTTATGAGGAACTCCTTTGAAAGGCCGTGGACCAATGTAGTCTGGTGGAACGGGCTGTTGTTTCGGATGAATCTTGATCCCTCTTCCTTGCACTCGGAGCTTGTTGCAGATGATCCTTTCCGCCTGGATATACTCGCCACCAAAGCTCTGACCGTACCTGCTAAATTGTGGAACCCGTTGTGCAATGGAAGTGGGAATATTTCGGTCTCACAGAGCGCTTTGCACATAGTTCTGTTGCAAGTTGAAGGTGTACGTTACGGTTCGAGGAGTGCCTTGAGTGTTTGGAGACTGGAAAAAGATGATGACGAGCGTTATCTGTGGAGCAAAATATATGAAATGGCGTTGAAGAGGACATCCTCGTTGTGTGGTCAGTTTGAACTTGAGAACTGCTTTGTGCTTGATCTGCATCCCGAGAAGCCGGAAATGGTATTCTTTAGATACTTGGAGGATCGTATTTTCTCCTTCAATTTGCGGACGGGAAAGGGAAAGCCCGAATTCTTTTCTGGAGTAACACTGAAATGCTTTAAACCCACTTGGAGGGCGTTGCAGCCTAGAGTCTCTTGCTGGCCTACTCCTATTCCAGGGTACGAGAACCTGCGAGGTGCATACAATGGAAGCTATGATTGTTGGGTTCAGAAAAGCACTACGACAACTCCTCCCTCAACCATTGGTAATAATTACTTCGAATTCTAACCTTTCTCCCTGGCCTCTCTTCTCTTGCGTTGTATGTCTGCTTACTAACTACGACCTCGCTAAGTGATGTGAAGACCTACCTATTAAGTAGCACATGCATACATAAATACATCTATTGTCTTGCCAAGTTGACATTCATGTTATGATGATACTGAGATTGTGTGTCTGTGTTGTTATTCTCTCTATTTCTTCATGTGGTGTGGCTTCTAATATTTTGTTTACCAACTGGTTGGTTGGTTTGCTAAACGAACAGAAAAATACCAACCCTTGGCTGAACAGTCTGGTCGTAGGAGGAAGGACAAGAGATCATCAACAGCATTACACTCTAAGCGTTGCGTTCGAAGGAAGCTCATCTTGTGGCCTAAGAGCGGTAGAAGAAACTCATCTTCTGTGATCAATTAAAGGGAAAGGATCATCCTCCGGCGGGTGGGTGCTGATGGCGCTTGTACGTACGTAGTGATGGTCTGTAGGAAGATGGACAGCTGCAGGAGTACCGAAGTTTTAGCATGCGTTGGATCTTATTTAGAATGTGGACTATGAACTTGTTCGAAAGGACATCTGTGTATTATTATCTATTTAAGATGGCAGCCATTGGTTTTAGTTTAAGATGCTCTGTATTTCAATTCATAATAATGTAAAGTTGTCGGCGTATTGCTAGTTACAATGGTTATAAAATGTAGCTTACTCAATCCAGATTCATGCCTGTCTTTATTGAACTAGCTGGAGATGTGACTGCTACATGTGTGGGAATTGGGATTATGAGTAGTTGTTATCTTCATGGGTTTGATGACGATGGCTGGCTAGGAGAAGGGTTATCTTTCCAATTGGGTCAAATTTGAATTCATGTTTCTGCATGTCATTTCAACTAAGAGAAAACTTCTCCTCATTTTGACAGTGGACTTTGCTGGTTTTTTTTTTGCTGGAGACACACAATCCGGATCTTAAAAGTATTTGGTATATTTCCGTAATATGCAGCATTAACTCCATGGTGTTTGTATGAAACCTGTACCGTTGGTTACAGTGACACTGTTGGATCCCCAGCCATGCCATACTGAGAAAGTGAGAATGATTGAGCGCAACAGTCTCGATTAGACTCTTAATTTCGAGGAAATCAGTTTACAGAACAACTTTCTTCACCTCGTCTCCATATCATCTGAATGATCGCAGTTTGTGCCATATAAGCATTATGCCACAGTTTGAACAACTGAATTTTCCAGAAATGTGGCAAATTGGGGCACCAGACCAGCCTTTTCCCTGCTGCTACAAAAAAAAAAACCCTACCCTAGCACACCACCAATCTCTTCTTTCCTTAACACGCTCTCAATGCCAAATGAAAGATCCAAGAGAAGCAAAAGGCAGAAGAAAGAACTACAC